AAGTTCCCTCAGTGAACTTCCAAGGGCCAGAAGACTGAGAACGCAAAAGAAGGGATGATCCTACCTATTCCTCCTTCTCTACTTTGTATCAGCTTTAGATACTTGAGAATGAACTGAAAGGAAATGAGACCAAGCCTTAGACCTTCCAGTTATTAATGCAGCTTTACCTAGAGATTTTCATCAAGTCAGGAAATCCCTAACTGTGCCAGTGCCAGGACATGATTCCAGGATTTCAGGCACTCACTTCCCCCTTTGGCTAGCAGGATGGCAGGACTAAAATGAGGATCATAACTCCTTACACATTTTCCAGGGCGGCCCAGCTTGGAGAGCATAACTACAGACCTCAGTATGACCCCAGCTCCTGATAGGAAAACCCCTCTTAAGCCCCTCTTTTCAGGCTTTGTTCCCCAGCTCTGGAGAGAACAAGATATTTAAGACAGGCTTATAAGGTACACTGAGGTTCTGATTGAATCTGTGGTTCCTGCTCTTGATTCTGACTTGTCTTTTTATTAACATCATGATCAATGAGGAAAGCCTTTTCCAATCACCTCCTGAGTACAGACAGATCTAGACTGCACCAGGGCAGAGGCATCGCCTCTCTCCTCTTGTCTCCCCTGCCCACTCTGGCACACGATAGGCACCCAGGGAAGATGGACTCTCAGGAGTGATGGTGATGATTCATTAAAGACCAAAAGGAGAGGGAGAGCTTTTATCATGTACAACTTTTTCCTCTGGTGGATACAGACCATATTTTAGTGCTTGAAATGACAAATGTTCATCATACATAATACGTTAAATTAGATAAAATGGCTTGTCATTTTCCACTTACTTTCATATACTCTACCACAGTCTGACTTCCAGCAACCGCTCCTGACCACCTTATGAAGAAAGCAAGGCAGGTATCATCTGAACCCCATGCATGGAAAACCTCTTCACAAAGAGGTTCCATAACTCCCTCAAGAAGATTTCTCAAAGGATTCTCTAGAAACTGTTAAATTGGTTTATCTTTGGGTAGCTGGGAGGTCAGTTAAGGGAAACTGACTTTAGACCATAATTTACTGCTTAAATTTGTATTTTATAATTAAAAAAGAGTTCATTTTTATCAGAGAGAAGGAAGGAAAAAAGAAGGAATTCATTCCTCTAAGGTGGTTCCAGAAATCCTTTTGGGAACCTGGGTTACATACAAGATCTTCAATATTCTTTCAATATGTTTGAACAGAAATCAATGTGAGGTATAATAAGATTAGCTAATATGTACCGAGGATTTACCGTGTAGAAAGCACTATTCAAAATAATTTAGATCTACTAACTCACTAAATCTCTACCACTTCATGAAACAGGTATAATTATTATTCCCACTTTATCAATGAGATCACTGAGGCATTAAACATTAAGACATTGGCCAGGCCTGTGGAATCTGTTCTCCACCAGTCTCTGCTGCACAGTGTTCCCAGCTTCTGTATTGGAAAAGAATCAGAAGATACATTCCTGTCTGCCAAGACTTCAGCTCTATTCCCAGGGTCACCAGTCCCCTTGCTGTCTGGGGCATCATCACAAAAATCTTTCTTTCATGACACATGGACAGAGGAGCACTCTCTGAGAGTCAGACAGTAACACATGAGCCTTGAGCATCATGTGAAGGAGAAAGTTCCCTAAATCAACTTTGGACAGAAGGCTCACCCTTCAAAACTTCCACCTCCCACAGTGTATAGAAGTGTGTAAGGGGTGGGGGGATTTTAAAAGCCATGGTTAGCAAGAGTGGAAACAGGTGATTGAATGCATTCTCCCCCATAGTACGCAGAGGACAGGGGACACAGAGACAGGACCCTTTGCTGCCTAGTGTGGGGAGCATGACCTCTAGAGGGACTAGAGGAAAAGAGAGTCATCGCCTATCAGCTTGGGCTCTCTTTCAAATGTGAGCCACTGATCAGAGAAATGACTTCTGTCACTTCCTGGACACTGGCCAATTTGCTGCTAAGTTGTTTGTAAGTAAATTCCAACAGAGAGGCTGGAAAATTCGATCTCAACTTCAGCAATGAAGTTCATCCTCCACAACCTGGTCTTGCCAATCTCCCAAGTAAATCATCGTATCACACAAATATTGCACACAATATGGTTTCTGTCTGGCTTCAGAATAGCCAGAAGCAAATAGGCAAGGACACATACTCACAGCTGCTCTGTCAATTTCAGGTAGATTACCCTATAGAGACCTTCAGAGAAACAGACTACCTTCCCAGAGCCTTTTACAGCTTGAAGAAAAAGCAGCATGGGAAATACAGACCCTTGGTCCTCATGAATCCATAAGAGATAAGAAGGAATGGGGTGCCCTTTTGGGTCAAGGAAAAAAGTTGTGTTGTGTGTTAGGAAAGCTTCAAACAGAGGATTTGTGTGAGAGTGTGTGTGTGTGTGTGTGTGTGTGTGTGTGTGTGTGTGTGTGTGTGCTTTCAGAATATTCTCTCTGGGTCACAATCAACCCCAAGCAGAGGATCTTAAGAAGTATTACCTATAACATAGCAACCCACTGGCATAAGACTCTGGAGCAGTATAGACTAGAAAAAAAATATTTACTGGTCACGTATCATAAATAGGGTACTGTCTTAGCCCAAGTAGGTGAATACTTGCAAGTGGAGTCCTCAATCACAGAATAACTATTCTATCATAAGTAAAAATACAAGGTTGGCAAAGGAAACCTGCTAAGTGCATGGTACAGAGAGATGTCTTGTGGTTTAGAGGAGACATGATTCCACTCCAGGCTGGTCAGGGAAGGCTGCACAGAGCTGAGGCCCTTGACATAGTCAAGATACTTGTTCTATTAAGGATGGGCTGCAGAAGGTTTCTCAAGGAGTGGTGGTTTTCTTCTTGTCCTTGGCAACTAACGACACATGCCTTGTTGTAGGATGATCCTTTCACATATCTAACCCCCACCCCCCTGCATCTCTAACCAGCTTGTAAATTGCTCTGGGGAAACTAACTTTAGCCAATGGTCATATGTTGATATTTAACATGCGCAAAACAGGAGGAGCATGTGGAATAAGAAAAGAAGATTGAGGGTTTTAAAAAAGAAGAAGAAATGGTCCTTAGAATTCACAACTTAGTGAAGAATCCACATAGATGTGTAATCTTAACACAAGATCAGTGCTGGAGTGAAAGTTTTTCAAACTGCAATTCATTCACAGGTGAATATGTGAGGGATAGAGAGACACACTCTGGTTGATGGGACCAGGCAGGCAGTGTTGAATGGGGCGTTGGGGTTGGACAGAGGAGGCTAGAAGCGCAGCAAACGTGGAAATGGGCAGGTGGGGAAAATTGAGTCTTCGTGGGTTCAAAACAGGGTGTATGGGAAGTGAGGAGATTGAGCTGTAGCAGACACAACCTACCGTGACCCCCTCCATAAGTTATGCCCTGGTGTAATCCCATAATTCCCCTCCCTTGAGTACCATGGAACCCATGACATACCTCTAACCAACAGAATATGGCAAAGCTGATTTGTTATCACTACTGTGACTGTGTGAAATTACAAGGCAAAGGCAAAGGTATTCTGCAGGCATAACTAGGGCTCTCAATCACGTGACTTTGAGTTAACCAAATGGGACATTATCTTGGGTTAGCCTGACTAGGGTGATTGAAAAAAGGGTCCGGGGCTGCCCTGCAGTTAGAGATGTAAAGCAGAAAAGACTTGCTTTCTCCCCAGTCTTGAAGAAGCAAGCCACAGGAGTTCTAAAGCTACAAAGAAAAAAAATTCTGCCAACAATCATGAGCTTGGAAGATTACCCCAAACTTCAGAAGAGAATACACCTCAGTCACAGCCTTGTGAGACCCTGAACCAAAAACCTTGACAAACCATGCCTGAACTCCTTGCCCATGGAAACTATGAGATGATAGATGGGTGCTGTTTATAGCCTCCAAGTGTGTTATCATTGGCAACGCACCCATTGGAAACAGATACATGGCTTCTCGCGGTGGAGGGCCAGGCACAGCAGGCTAAAAAGGATGGGCTTTATGATATGGGCTATAGGAAACACTGACTATTTTGGTAGACCAGAACTCCCTGAAACACACTTAGTAGAGCACTGTTCCCAGGAGCAGTCAAGTCTAGTCTAGGTGAGCCACTATGTTCTAGACTAAACCAAGCCAGCCAGCTACTCTTTTACCCAATTAAAAAAAAAAAGAGGAAGAAGTAAAGCAAAGACCAAGTAAAGAAATGGGCAGCCTTTGAAAAAAATGTTAAGGAACTTTGGTGTCCTTGTTGCTAATTATAAATATTTACTCCTCCCAGAATTCCTGACCTCACAGAAGAGCCTGCGTAAATAGTCTTGCTCTCTTACTGGAAAATTATTGTGTGTGTGTGTGTGTGTGTGTGTGTGTGTGTGTGTGTGTGAGAGAGAGAGAGAGACAGAGAGAGAGAGAGAGCCTGAGTGAGCATGTGTTTGTTTCTTAGAAGGGGACTGGGCAGTAATCAAGGACTGGATGAACTGCAAAAGTCACTTCCTGCTGGATATTATCTAGTTCCCATTCCCTCCCTGCCAGATCATAAACCCCCAGGCCCCCAAGCAACTCCTCCTTTCCTGATTCTATCTGCTGGAGACAACTAAGCCAAACAAACTCAGGAAGTGGCAAGAGATTGGGAAGGGGAGGAAGTTCATGGCACAGAAGGAAAAAGTAAAGAGAATGCCCTGATGTTCAAGGAAGAGGGTGGGGAGAGAGAAATGAAGGTCGCACCAAGGTCACCTGGCGCCCAGCCCTTAAAATGTCCTGCTTGAGCTTTAAATCAAAACTGGCACAAACAGTGGGTCAAATCTCCTGGGGCCATTCAAATATTAACATTCACAGTGATAAACAGCCCCCCAAAAAGCCCTCAGTAAGCAAACTGGAACAAACAACGAATCTAAAGTGAGTTGCTAAGAGACCAGTGGGGCAGAAGCCAAAGTCAGCTCAAGTGTCTGAAGGATTCTCTCTTTTTTTTTTCCACTTTCAGGAAAGAGGAAGAGAGAAGAGGCTACCTGTAGATGACTCCATGCTGGTGGAGGAACATGAGGGCCGACGTGACCTCTGCAGCATAGAACCGTGAACGGGGCTCGTCGAATTTTCGGGAGCGCTGAATCTGAAACATGAGGTCACCACCGTTTACATATTCCATGACGAAAAAGAGGCGGTCCTGAAAGGAGAGAAGAAAATGCCATTGGGATCATTTCATTGCAGCGACTCGCACAGGCCAGCACAGGGTGAGCCCAACGTAAGATAACCAGGACTCAAGGGGCAAGAAGCCTCAAAGGAAGGTGGATGTTAGTAGCACATGGTCCAGAAAGAAGGACGAAGGAATAAAGTGTGTGAGTTAGGGTACTAAGCATGATTTAAAAATCTTTCACATCTTACTCTTGTGGGCATCAGCTTGACCTAGTGGAAGAAGACTAAATTGGATGGAAAGGAGAATGGGGTCTTTGGTTTCTGTTCCCAATTTGAGATGTGGCCTTGGACAAGTGTGAGAGGGAGGCTCCAGTATGTGTGTGGTAGGTTGAATAATGGTCCTCCAAAAGATATCCAGGTCCTAATCCTTGGAGTATGTGGATGTTACCTTATAAGGCAAAAAGGGAGTTTCCAGATGTGATTAAAGGGAGATTATCCTGGATTACCGGACCTTAAATGCAACACAAGTGTCCTTAAAAGAGGAAGATTTGAGGTTGAATATGGTGGTTTATGCCTGTAATCTCAGCACTTTGGGAGGCCAAGGTAGGAGGACTGCTTGAGCCCAGGAGTTCGAGACCTGCTTGGGCAACACAGCAAGACCTCATTTCTCTATCAAAACAAATTAAGGCTGGGTGCAGTAGCTTACACCTATAATCTCAGCACTTTGGGAGGCCGAGGTGAGAGAAGTGCCTGAGCCCATGGGTTCGAGATCAACCTGGGCAACTTGGTGAGACCTCATCTCTACAACAAATCAAGAAAAATTAGCCGGGTGTGATGGCGCATGCCTATAGTTCCAGCTACTTAGAAGGCTGAAGTGGAAGGATTGTCTGAGGCCAGCAGGTAGACACTGCAGTGGCCATGAGCAGGCCACTGCACTCCAACCTCGGAGACAGAGACTCTGACTCAAAACAAAAAAATTTTAAAATTAGCTGGGCGTCGAGGCACATGCCTGTAATCCCCGCTGCTCAGGAGGCTGAGAAGGGAAGATTAGTTGAGTCCAGAAGTTTGAAGCTGCAGTGAGCTGTGATTGTGCCACTGCACTCCAGTCTGGGTGACAGAGTGACACGCTAACTCAAAAACTAGAAAAATTAAAAGAAGGAGATTTGGGAAGGGAGGAGGCTGAGTGACCACAGAGGCAGAGATTGGAGTGATGCAGCCACAAGCCAGAGAATGCAGGCAGCTACCCAAAGCTGGAAGGGGCAAGAAACATAGTCTCTGGAGGGAGACCAGTCTCAACGACACCAGCGATGCAAGACTTCTGGCCTCCAGAACCTCAGTAGGTGTTAAAGCTTCTCAGATTGTTTTGATGTGCAACACTGACTGTCATCCAGCTGGGTGGTGTCAAGGTATTTTACATCTGTGTGATATAATGCTTATAAATAATTCTTGTCTCTTTTGTTGTCTTTTCAAGGATTCCCCCAAGAACATTTCTATGGTTTTAAGCCACCAAGTTCGTGGTAATTTAAGTCAGTCCTAAGAAACCAGTAACTTGTAACATGGAAAAATGAGACTGTGAGACACCCACCCTCACCCCACCTGCCTAGTCCTTGTGAGGGCCGCTTTCCACTTTGCAGGCTGTTCCTTCTAGGATTCCTGTGAATTCATCCCTCGAGGCTGTTCCTTCTAGGATTCCTGTGAATTCATCCCTCGAGGCAGCCTTCGGAATGGCCAAACCACAGTCCCACCTCATTGGGGGTAGCACCTTCAGATCTGCAATCCATGATCACATGGGGAGAGGCGGGGGAACTGACATTCTCTTGGCAGTTTCTTGCCTGTTAGAGTCTAAGCTCCCAGGCAGTGGGCAAAGAAGAACGAGCCCTCATTGTCTAGGGGGATCAAAACCAAGGGACGAGAGAGGAAATGGGCAGAATGGTAAAAACAAAACAAAACAGAAACAGAATGCCATCAAGACACCAGGAGCTGAAAGGATTCCGGGGAAAGGGAGCTCTCTGGCTTGGGAGGCCATGGAGGATTCCAAATGGAGCCAGGCCTTGAGAGAAAGAGAAGGTCTAGGAGACAGGAACCAATGCCAGGATGTGGGAACAGAGTGAGCCGGTTTAGGGGCCAGTAAACTGGGAAGGAAGGTTAGCGAGGTAAACATTGAGGTTTAAGAGGCCAAAGACGCAGAGGACATTCTTAACACACAGATACGGTCTAAGGGAAGCTTCCAGGAGGATATTGGTATATTATTTTCTGTTAAGATTGAGTATGAATTACCAATGATGCTTCACTTATGAAGACTTTATTATCGGCATCCCTTTGAAAATGAGTTCATAGTTAATAACTGTTCCTAATTCAAACTACCTTCTCTCCCACCACAATCTCCGGAATGATTCCAGCTTTACTGGTATTCGCAAAGGGCCTATCGCCTAGCTCTTCTGGCCTTTCCCTGTCCCCTTCAAGGCCTACCTCATCCCGCACCCCCAGGACAAATATTGTAATCAGAAGTACCTGGGCTACTTTACTTTGCCAGCTTTTCATTCAACCCTACCTTCTCCTTCAAATCCTCATTTCACAAATCAAATGCTCAGGCCAACCCCTGCTTGATGAAATCGGGATCTTTGACGGTGGGACCCAGGTGTCAGTAGGTGTTAAAGCTTCTCAGATCATTTCAATGTGCAGCTGGGTGGTGTCAAGGTATTTTGCATCTGTGTGATATAATGCTTCTAAGTGATTCCTGTCTCTTTTTGTGTTTTCAAGGATTCCCCTCAAGAAGAAAGGTTTTCTTTTTTTTTTTTTTTTTTTTTGAGTTGGAGTCTTACTCTGTCGCCCAGACTGGAGTGCAGTGGCCGCTCCCGGCCACCGCAGCCTCGACCTGCTGGGCTCCGGCGATCCTTCCACCTCAGCCTTCCAAGTAGCCGGAATTACAGGCATGCGCTACCACGCCCGGCTGATTTTAATTTATTGTAGAGATGAGGTCTTGCTGCCTAGGCGGGTCTCGAACTCACGGGCTCAGGCAATCCGCTCACCTCAGCCTCCCAAAGGCGCGGGATTACAGGCTGAGCCGTGTGCATTAGGATCACAAAGAGGCTTGCTAGAACCTGGATTCCTAGGCCCCTCACTCAGAGATTTGGATTCAGAAGATCTGGGGTAGAGTCTGAAAATCTGCATCCCAGGTGATGCAGATGATGCTTGATGCCGGTCCTGGGATCGCACATAAAGCACCTGGGCAAGGCTTTCCCATGACAAGCACAGCAGGAGCATTCATCTGACACTGAACCATACCACCAGAAACAGCCACTCGTGTCCACTCTCCAGTCGTCAACCCTGGAGTTGGGCTCTAGCAACAAGGAGGTATTTCCTTGGCTGAGTATGAAAGAATCCAAATCTCTAAAGAAGGAAAATCTCTCTTCTCAACCCTCCTCCCTGGCTGCTTCTTACTCCGCCACCACTGGACACAGTTTCTAAGAACAGGGGCTGTGGAATGAGGAAGAAGAACTCTCATACCCACTGCAAACGACTCAGGTCAACAACTGCATCACTGCATCCTCTGTGCTTGTGCTTTGATCTGGAGAAAAGAGGATGACAGTACTAGGACCTGGCTCAGAGATTTCTTGAATTATACATCCCCTTGAAAATGATGTCTTCCTCAAAGCTAGTGCTCCAAAAAGTTTGTCTATGACTATTGAAATGTAAGAGCTGCTATTACTGTCATGATCAGTATCAAGTCTTCATGTTGTCTAACCTCTCAGCAGCTTTCTTCCCTATCTCTTCTTCCAACAGACACTTGTGTGCTGGTGCGGTGATTCACGCCTGTAATCCAAACACTTCAGGAGGCTGAGGTGGGAGGATTGCTTAAGCCCAGGAGTTTGAGACCAGCTTAGGCAACATAGCGAGACCTCATCTCTACAAAACAAAGCCAAAAAACCCAACAAACACTTGTTTCCTTTGGCTTCAGGCTAATTTTCTCCCTATGTTGCTGGCAGGATTTCCACTGCTTCTCCTGTGGGCTCCTCCCTTTCCAGCCATTAAGTGCTGGAATCCTTACAAGCTGGGTTCTAGGCTTTCCCCCTCCCTTGGAACCTCCTGCGGGATCTCATCCTTGTCCAGTTTCCAAGGCACCTCTGTGTAGATAACCCAAAAGCTCAGACCCCTCCATCCTAGACCTCTGCTTATAAATGATTCTTGCTCAAGACCCACTCATCCAACTGCAGTTCTGAAATCTCCCTCCAGATGCCTCAGAGGCATTTGATATAGTTTGGTTGTTTGTTCCCTCCAAATCTGATGTTGAAATGTGATCCCCAATGTGGAGGCGAGGCCTAGTAGGAGATGTTTGGATCATGGGAGCAGATTCCTCATGAATGGCTTGGTGCCGTTGTTCTTGCGGTAATGAGCGAGTTCTCGCTAGAGCTGGTTGTTTAAAAGAGCCTGGCACCTCCTTCTGTCTCTCTTGCTTCCACTCTAGCCATGGGACATGTCTGCTCCACCTTCTACCATGGCTGTAAGTTTCCTGAGGCCTCACCAGAAACCCAGCAGATGCTGGTGCCATGCAAAACTATGAGCCAAAATAAACTTTTTTTCATTTCTTTCTTTCCTTTTTTTTTTTTTTTTTTGAGTTGGAGTCTCACTCTGTTGCCTAGGCTGGAGTGCAGTGGCACGCTCACAGCCACTGCAGCCTCGACCTGCTGGGCTCAAGTGACCCACCTCAGCCTTCCAAGTAGCTAGAACCACAGGCATCTGCCACCATGCCCAGCTACTTCTTTTATTTTAAAGCAGAATTTATTGAGAGGGCAGGAAAGCTACCATAGTGAGAGGGAAACTGAGAGGGTGGCCCCCAGCTAATTCTTTAAATTTACTGTAGAGACGAAGTCTTGCCAAGTTACCCAAGCTTGTCTCAAACTCCTGGGCTCAGGCAATCCTCTCACCTCTGCCTCCCAAAATGCTTACAGGTATGAGCCACCACGCTTGGCCCCTTTTCTTTTTATATATTATCCAGCCTCAGTTATTTATTTACAGCAATGTAAAATG